AGGAGCAAAAGCTGTAGGCCAGACATCTGTTCATAGCAGATCATTGCTTGTCAACACTTGCTGTGTCTGAGGTCAATTCCAGCATATACTGCCTTTTAACGAGTGATTGTCTCATGGAGAAGATGGTAAGGAGAGAAGGTGAGGGGAGTGTTTTGGCTTAACTCTGGTAAGCAGCTCAGCACCAAACAGCTGCTCACTTGCTCATCCCAGTGAGATGGGGAAGAAAATCGGAAGGGTAAAAGTGAGAAAACTCTGGGCTGAGATGAAAACAGTTTAATTAGTAAAGCAAAAGCTGTGTGTACAAGCAAAGCAAAATAAGGAATTGCCATCAGCAGGCAGGGCTTTATCACACATGGTGGTTACTTGGGAAGACAAACACCATCACTCCAAACACCCCCCTTCCTCCTTCACACGGCTTTTACTGCTAAGCACAGTGTTGTATGGTATGGGATATCCCTTTGGTCAGTTGGGGTCGGCTGTCCCAGCTGTGTCCCCTCTTGCCTACACCCAGCCTGCTGGCTAGCAGGGAAGTCTGAAAAACAAAGAAGGCCTTGACTCTGTGCAAGCACTGCTCAGCAATAGCTAAAACATCCCTGTCCTATCAACACAGAAATCGAAATACAAAGTGAGAAATCGAAAACACAGCACTGTGCAAGCTGTTACAAAGAAAATTAACTCAATTCCAGCCAGAACTAGGTAAAAATTAAAAAAAAAAATTTAAATCCCTCTATAGGAATTGGAGGCTTTGTTAGTTCTCTTGCTCTTAAAAACAGTATGATTCCTCTGCAAAGTGGTTATTATAACAGGTAAGCTGCAGAGAGAATCAACTTTGTACAGGATACCTCAACTGATACGGTTAATTGTAGGGGAAGTGAGTAATTTTACAGTTTAGGTTGATTTGATAAGTTTTTGTCCAACAGCGTCAAAAGACAGAATTTTTCTCATTAAAAAAAAAAACATTCTGACTATTTAGAGGGGACTACTTTGTTAATTATTTCTTCCTCTCCAGGTTTGACCATTCTCCTTGTGACCCAACAGTCACATTACATGGACCCCCAAATAATGCTGTTGCCTGTGTGATATGCTGCAAAAGATTTTCAACCTCTCAGCAGTACAGTGATCATCTTTTATCCAAGGCAAGATCATAAGGATAAGTAACTTGCCTAACTGAACGTAGTAGAGGGTTTTCAAGACATAGAATTATGCACTGATTTTTTTTTCTTCCCCTTTTAACCCTCTTTTTCTCCCCTCCCTTCTTTTAGTCTTCAAGATAGTTTTTCTTATTCTGCTGCATTTCAAACAGCTGATGTGTCCTGCCAGTACTCCCATTATATCTGACCATTAGGTTGTTCTTCCAAGAGGACTGTAATTCTCTCTTGAACCTCTTGTCCTTTTATTGATGCTGTCGAAAGGTTTTTTTTTTTTGCATCTCCAAAACTATGAAGGATAAAGGCAAGAAGTTAGGGTGAAATAAGTGACAGTAAACAGAAGCAGCAGAAAGGAGGTGGGGGGGAAAAAGAGGCCACAGAATGAGACAAGAAGCTTAGATGATTCAGATGCAACTGTTTCTTCTCTGTTTCCAGTCTGTCTGATAGATGTATTTGCTGCTACTCACTAGTTAACCTACAGAAGGGAGAAGGATAATGTAGCATTTGAGTTTTGGTTTGCATATAAGCTAATAGTATTTGCTTTTTTGGTTGTTGTTCCTCCCTACCTCCACTCTTTTCACTTCTG